CGTTCCTAGTTTTTTAAATTAACTGAGGTTACTGTTCCTACCTACTTCTGCTTTGCTGGCATTACCCTTTGTACCTGTTTGGCTGAATAGAGGTTCCAGGATAGGAGACAGAACAGATGCTATGATGTACCATCAGCACGGCAACATAATAAACTCCAAAGGCCTGCTTTTGGCTTTTTCACTCACTTCACCTCCAAATTCAGTCTCACTTTTAGTTCTGTCACCTGCCTTAACTCTCAGCCTCACTCTCACACTGAAATCCTTCTGATATTACTTATGTTTAGAAAGATAATAATGACCGTCATTTATTGGACATGTGCTTTGGGGTGCAAGGGGTCAAGAAGGGAGTGTGGCATACCACACGGAGACTAAGGTTACACGGCCAGTAAGCGGAAGAGTAGGGGTTTAAAGCCAGGTCTGCCTACTACAAAAGCTCATACTCCTTCCGCTGCCCTTCAAGTTTGGGATTTGGGATTGTTTAGAAGTCTTCAAAATCAGAAATCTACCTAAACATCTCCCTTTTCCTTCCCAGTGAACAAGAAGAACATTATTTGGGCAGGAAAACTAGGAACTGGATTGTCTCCTCCTCCTCCCTGCCCCTCTTCTTCTCCTCCTACTCTTCCTCTTCCTTCTTTTTCCGTGCACTTTGGGGAACCAAACTGGGAGGAGGGATAATGTAAACAATGAGCACAGTGAGTTTCTCTTCCTTCTTCTTTGAATTTCCTTAGTTAAGCCCCACTGGATGTGAATGGTTAGGTTATCATGCCAGAGAGGATCTCACATCCTGACTCTAATAACCTCAATGCAAATGTCCATGATACAAAACAACCTGAAATCAGTAGCTTGGACGGTACTTTTTCTTAGTTTTTGGGAAAGAGATCTGGTCGTGCTGTTGCCAGTTGGCTAAACACTAGAGCCTCCAATTTATTTAAGATGTGTTTATTCACTAAGCACTTCAGTTTATCAACAGGGGTAGTTAGGACATAGCCTTTGCACATACTAGACACAAACTGCCAAATACTGGCCTCCATCTACTCTCAGTTCATTCATAGAGATGGTTCCAAGACTACGGAGAGCACACTGACCAAGAGCAATGGTGCTGGCTCTCCCTCACCACTAACTGACTCTGGGTAAGTCTCTTAACTTTCATTCTCTCATTCAATCGGCTTTTTTTTTTTTTTTTGATCACCAAAGATGTTGAAATCCTTGCTCTGACACTTACCAGCTTTGAGACCTTGGTTATGCAAATCTAAGCCTCAGATGCTTTCTGTGTAAATTGGAAATGGTAATAGTGCCTTCTCAGTACAATTCTTGTGAGAATGAAATGAGATGATGTACATAAAGAGCTTAGTGTGGTGCCTGGCATTTAATGGCAATTTTTCATTTGATAAGCAATTATGAAGCACTTACTGTGTTCTGTACGTGATGCTATGCTCTGGGGCTACACATCACAATAAAACCTGCCATTTAGTGACTGCATTCTTTGGGCCAGATATGCAACTGTGATTGTCTCAAATTGTCCTCATAACAACTTGTAAGACATGCATTATTTTCACCATCTTATAAATGAAGAAACTGAATTCAGGGAAGTAAAGCTCAAGGCTACACACCTAGTAAGTAACAGAGCTGGGATTTGAACTCCTGTCAATCTAATTCCAAATCTCATTTACCATCACTCTGCTATGCAGCCTTACTGTTAGCCAGAATGAGACACATGTCCTGCTCACAATCTAGAGAGGGAAAACATGTATTAACTCATTGCAGTGTGACATATATAATAACATCAGGTGAGCATTCTATGTGCTATGCATTCTCTATGTGCTCATTCAGCTCTTAGAACAGCTTGCAAATGTAGTCCACATGCATGGCCACTATACCCTAGTGCCACTCGGGAGCACTAACAACGGATGAACAGTCTGCTCCAGGTGTTCTGAGGAGTGACAGTAACTATGCGTGTGAGAATAAGATTTCATAAATGTGATGGTATGTGGGTTGGAACCTGTAAGTAAGAATGTACCTGGTTGAGAGGGAGAGATGGGGAAGGAAGGGAAAACCAGGGAGAAAAAATAGCACATGCAAAGACCCATTATCTTCACTGTCTAACCTCCCATGTCTCTAAAGTACAATGGAAATCCTTAATAGGTCTGGTACAGAAGACACTCCATTTTTCTCCATTCTTCCCTTTTATTTCTTCATGTCCTTTGTGAAAGAATTGCATCTAAAATGGAACCAGAAGATATAAAATGAAGAATCTCACACATGTGCCTGCAGGGAAATAAAACTTAAGGACTGAGAAACTCATTTCCCATAGATGCGTGGTTTACATAAAACTGGTATTGGAATTGTCTTCAACGATAGGGAGTTGGTCAGGGGTTGCCTCATATCAACCTTAGGAAGTTTTGCTTGTGGTTTCCAGAGGTACGAACAAGAAATGACCCAGGTGGGGTTGATCTTGTAAAACGAGCTGGATTGAGTTTTGTTTGTATGACTGGACTGGTTTTGTCTGCTTGGTGAATTTTCAAAGCTGGTCTCCCTTTTTTTATTTTAACAGACTCTAACTGAGCTCTCTCCTCCTTGCATTCCCTGCCCATAAATACAGCCTACCCCAAACCCTCAAGGGACTCACTGTAGTTTGCTACAGTTTGCATGTCTTGAACTGCAACTCCTCTGCTATTCCTGAATAAACTCATCTTTTTGACAATTTTGACCTTGCCTCAGTTTCCCTATTTAGGTTGACACCTTCTACCCATCCCTAGCTGACACTCATCACATTCCTCACCTGCCTTTCATAGGCCACCTAGCTCTCACCTAGATCATTGCAATCACTTGCAATAGCTCCCTTTCTTTCACTTTGCTTCCTCTGATCTATTTAAAAACACAGTTGCATATAATTTTCTAAAGTAGAGCTCTGACCACCGATCTCCTCTGACTCTGAAATCTTCAAATCTCCCACTTCCACCAGAGTAGTGTAATCTACACAGCCAGCAAGCCACCATCCTTGACAAAGTCTTGATTTGTCTTTCAAATCTCCTACCACCCCCTTTCTTTAACACTAACAGTGCTCCTCAAACTTCGGTGTAAATCATAATCATCCCTGGGACACCTCTTAAAAATACATCTGCCTGGGCTCCAATCCCAGAATGTCTGATTCAGTATGTCTGGGATGTGCCCCAGACATTTTTGGGTTTCTGTTGTCTTTGATGCTCTAGGACACATACATTGTTAAATTTCCTCCTGGTGTTTCTAACTCACCGAATTTTGAAACACACTTTTTCGACTTTCCCTAAATTTGTAAGTTCCCCCACGCTTTCTCATTTAATTCGGGCGTTAAATTATTCCTTCTTCCAGAATCTCCTAATTTTTAAAACCTATCCATCTTTCAAGACTCAGATCAAATGCCACATCTCCCAGGAAGTCTTTCCTGCGCATTTCTTTGGTATCTAGCTGCACTTTTCGTGTGGCACCTCCTGCTTATTTAGGAAGCGTCCAAGCGCCCGGCCAGCCAAAGAGTTCCCTGGTCCGAGAAAGACATATTCCTCCACCGTCCACCCTGATCCCTAGCCCTCCCGCAGGAATCGGACATGCGCAGTAAATCCCGTTGGATCACTATCTGAATCGATTCTTCCCGGAAATCCAAGGCACAACTCTCTCGGATGCCCTTTGCAGTTGTGAAGCAAAGCACCGGCAACGGAGGCAGGCAGGAACCGCTCAGAGCCTGGAAACGAACTAGCCTGGGGACGAAGACCCCACGCGAGTAAGCCACGCGAAAGGCGCTTCCGCCTCTCGGCCCGCTCTACCCCTGACGTTAGCCTCGCCCTTCGATTGGCTGCTCCTCTCACCCATCCCGACAAAGGCTGTTGCCCACGTGACCCGCTGGAGGCCGTAGGATTGGTTGCTCCATGAGGGCTTTACTGGGCTAGGGGATGCCGGCGGGGCAGCAAGGCTGAGGCCAGCGAGAAGCGGGAAGCGGGAAGCAGGATCGGGACCGGGTGTAGCCGGGGACCAAAAGGCCGAGGGTCGGCCGCCATCAGTGTTTGCAGGCCTCCTGAGATAGGGCGGAGGAGCTTGAGGAGTTCAGAAAGCGGGCTGTGGACTCCTGTCTGGGACTTTGGTTTATGCCCTGGCTTCGGCCTCACTTGTATTTCCCCGCAGGAACGGCTCCTCTCAGTCTTTGCTGAAGTTGGGGGTTGGACTTTATTATCATTTTGTGGAGGGTCCACTGTACGTAAGCACTGGTCCTGCGCCGAGCGCTATGGAGACAGCCAGGAGGTAGAAGCTTGGGGAGGGAGGGCTTAGAGATGCTTGAGGTATGTTCCTTACCCACCTGCAATGTTGGAGGTAAGTTGGCTTTATTTTTGTGCTGATGTATATTATAATCGAGGAAGGTAAGGTTTAGGAGGGAGGGTCGCCCATTGACTGAATTAAACGTTCATTTATTGACCTTCGTCCTATGTACCAGGCACCGTTCTGAGTGTAATGGATGCAAAGGCCAGTAAGACACTGCCCTGGTTCTGTAGGAACTCAGTGTCGTGGGGCTGGTGGGATAGACGGATGTGGGGGATGTGCGTGGGTGAATAAGTGACATGTGATGCGTGGGGAGAAGTGCTGAGAGAGTCAGAAGAGAGGATGACTGGGGGTTAGAGACCACTTTACTGAGAAGGTGACGTTTGAGTAGGGTTATATAATTAGGCGTTCGCCAGATTGCAAGGGTTGGGGGAGGCACTCCAGATGGAGCAAAGTGTGCTGAGGAAGAGAACTAGGGATGTGTGCTTGCTGTGTATGGTGGGAGCTCACTTGGAGCTCTGCTTTTAGACAGTTTCATGCTTTTAGACAAAGTTAAGTTTCTCTGAGCCTCTGTTTTCCTCATTTTTTTTTTTTAAGATTTTATTTATTTATTTGACAGAGAGCACAAGCAGGCGGAAGGCAGGGAAAGGGAGAAGCAGGCTCCCACTGAGCAGAGAGCCCAACGTGGGGCTCGATCCGAGGACTCTGGGATCATGACCTGAGCCGAAGGCAGACGCTTAACGGTCTGAGCCACCCAGGTGCCCCTGTTTTCTCATTTATAACATGTACTTCACCTGTAGAGGGTGATGAGCTAACGGATCAATCATAACCCCTGTAAAACAGGTACTTTGTTAGTTTCTCTCGTTTTATGGAGTTTAGTTGCTGAATGGCCAACACAGAACAACAGCTGCCAGTTTTTAACTAAGGACTATCAATCTATTGACATTTATAGATGGCTGAAGGAAGCATATGCTGTCTCCAGAATTGTTATTTAGATACAGACAATACCATGCTGATAGTCTGGGGAGGATGACATTGTGACCCAAGTACTTTTCCATGTCGGTGATAGCATACCACCAGAGTGTGTCATTTAGAATAAATGAAATGCAGTCAACTTTCTTATTCAGAAATCGATTATCCAGGTTGTGAATTATCTAGACTTTTGCATTACCTTTTTTTTTTTTTTTTAAGATTTTACATAATCTCCACACCCAAGGTGGGGATCGAAATCACAGCCCTAAGATCAAGAGTCCCATGCTCCACTGACTGAGCCAGCCAGGCGCCCCTGCATTGCTTCTGTTATCTTGCCAATGGTCTGGAGAAAAATGAAAGTAAACCTCATATTTAGCTGGTAGTGGAAAAATATAAATCTGGTATTCAGACCTCTATTCTCTTTCCAGCTCTACTGTTAATTTGCTGTGGACCTTTGGCAACACATAGCCTCTCTGGGTCTAGCACTCTTAAGATAGAAGATTCCAGTAAAAAAACTTTATGACTATACTTTTTAACTTTATTGGCAGAATTGTAAATCAAATTGTATATTAAATGAACAGTTTACTTTATAATGGAATTTAGTAGAAAATCTTTTCTAAAGCTTTTGCTTTAGAATTAGACTATAAATCCCTTCACAGACATCTTTGGAATTTTGTCATGCATGATGTTGGGATCATTAAAAAAAGTTTTTGAACCATAAACGCTTCTCCACTCCTCTATTTCAAAAACAAAAAAGCTCCTCCAAACCAAAACTTGTTCAAGTTTGCTTTTTTGTACAGCCGAGTCTTTAAAGCAAGCATAGTGGAAAATGAAATACTTATTAAAAGTCCATGGTTGAAACTTAACTATATAGAAGCCTTTATTTTTTTCGTAAGTTAACCTAAGTCGTCTTGGATGTGAAAATAATGTTGGACCGCGCTTAGGTATATAAGGATGTGAAATGCAATGATGCGATGATGAGTGAAGTATAGTCTGACCTGGTATTGCCATTGCCTCAGTTCTGGCTCTGACCAGGGTATGATTCCTTAATCTTCTCTCTGAGCTGATTGTGGTTGTGGTTTTTCCACATTGGAATGTTCTCATCTATTTGGATACTGATTTTATTATGTCTAAGAGTGTTTCTTTTATAGTCTTTTGAGTTGCTGATACTTTCTCATGTTTTCCTTCTTAGGTTGAGGTGAAAAATCTGGCTTTGATATCTTCGTGGAGGTCTACCTTCTTTCAATCCTGAATCTGGTTCAGTTTTCTTATTGACTTATTACTGTATTAAAAATGTTTGTTTAATTATGGTGTTTGTTTTGGTACAATCTTGCAATTTAACAAGAACTTTAACAAATATCCATTATATTCTTTTTATGGTACAGAAGAATGTTAATATTTTCAAATCCATAGGTTATTCCATTTCAAAGTTTAATTTTATCAACTTTGCGCTATCAGAAAATATGCTTTGAATTGCTAAATGAGTTAAAGTATTAGAAAACACCTGTCTCAGCAGAGGCACTTAAGTTATTTTCATCCTTCCTCTACCCATATATTTTCACCAACCTGACAATCCAGTGGCATGAATTTTACTACATAAGCAACTTAAGTGTTTCTGTAGTATTTCTAATACAGGGTCTTTCACATAAAGCTGAATTCTTGCTGTTGCAGTAGAGGTTTTTTCCTGCAAGTATTGGATTAGCAAAAAAAAAAAAAAAAAGCAAAATGTCAATACAAAAATACCTCAAAGTCAAAGGTGGTCTGAATGAAAAATGTACTTTAAACACCTCAAGTAATTTTTTTTTTAAGATTTATTTATTTGAGAGAGAGAGAGAGGGCAAACCGGGGGAGGGGCAGAGGGAGAGAGAGAATCCCAGGCAGACTCCACGCTGAGCGGTCGAGCCCACCGTGTGGCTTGATCTTGAGACCCTGAGATCATGACCTGAGCCGACACCAAGAGTTGGACACTGCTTAACCAACTGAGCCACCCAGGCACCTCCACCTCAAGTAATGTTTGTTTCCACATAATCATGACAACTTGGAATGACTCTTTGCCAAAAACATTTATTCTTAAAATTTACTTAAGCGTTTCACAGAAACTTAGTAATAGCCAGAATAATTCGTGCCCATTTAGCAAACTCTTAACAGCAAGAAGAAAGAGCCTATTAAAAGATTCTTTTGCACAAAGTTAAATCAGTATATTGTCATCTCTTGCTTATTCGTTTTGCTTTCACACTGAAATCTTCAGACTGCTCTATATATACGTTCAACCCCTATTTTTCTTTAACAAGTTGCCCAAGAAAAGGTACGTATGGCTCATAAAGGAATCTTAAAAGTTGATACACTATAGCAGATGCTACTTAACAAGTGGCTCACAGTATATGGAAGGTGCTTTGTTTTTCTAAGCTGTTTCTAAGTATTTCTGTAAAGAGCAGGTCCATATTTCACATTGTTTGCAAACTGATAAAGTCTCTTCCTCATAGGCAGATAAATGCTTTCTTTTCTCAAGGGCTGCTTCCCCATCACCCACTTTTATAAGGTCTAACTTGGGTTTTTCCTGAGAGCTTCTATACCTCTTGTTCTTCGAGGAAAAGCTTCTGTACTATCCTCTTTCATCCACTTCCTCTACACTGACCTTCATGTCCCGTCAATCCTGATTCTCTTATTCTAACCAGCTTGCTAAACTCTTAAGTAGGAGTCTAGAGAGCAGGTTAAAAGGTTTAGATCAATAGATATATCCTTTTAAAGAATCCATATACAGCTGATACTTGAACACAGATTTGAATTGTGTGGGTCCACTTATATATGGATTTTTTTTATAGTACAGTACTATAAATGCATTTTCTGTTATGACTTTCCTAGTATTTTCTTTAGCTTTACTGCAAGAATACAGTATATAATACATCTAACATACAGAATATGTGTTAACTGATTGTTGATGTTAGCAGTAAGGCTTCCGGTCAATAGTAGGCTGTTAGTAGTTAAGTTTTGGGGGAGTCAAAAGTTATACGTGAATTTTCTACTGGGGGGGGAGTGGTGTTGGCACCGTTAACACACATGTCATTCAGGGTCAATTCTAGTTGTGTAAAGTTCATATAATTACGAATTGGGGATGAGAAGACTCAAACAATGCTATGTACTGTGCTGAAAATCAGTTTCTCAGCCTTATAGTGCAATAATTTTGTTGTGAGATAAAATCCTAATCCCTTTCAGTTCTCAGGGGAGTACAGTTTAATTAGATGTTGTACTTCTGTTGGATAACCTGTTATGGGACAAGCTTGGTGACTCCTTACATAATTAAATACACAGCGATAACAAAACACATAGCCAGAGGTGGCAAGAACAGTATCATTCACCCGGATTTTGCGACACAGTGGGCACATAGTCTTCATTTTGGGTAACAGAGGAGAATCGGAATTGTAATCTAGGTGTACAGGTGGTGGTGGAGTAGGCAGGGCAGTCAGTGACTTGATGGTTTCTTGATTTTCAGATGAGTACCACCACTCAAGGAACTGCAGAAAGAATACTCCCACAGAAAGGCCAGTAGAGAGGGATAAGGCAGCACCTCCCAAAGTTTTTTTCAGAGCTGATTTTATCTTCTCACCAACACTGGTGGGGGAATAGAACAAGCAGGCAAAAGGAGAAACTTTATTTAGGTATGATCACAGAATGACTAATATAAATGTACCTCTTAAACTTTTCATCAGAATCACTGATTCAGTTTGGAGACTGAGTAGTTGCTAGATTGGCACTGTCTCCTTTAGTATCTATTCTAAACGATTTCCTTTTTCTGATCTACAGTATTTTGGGAGTATAGGAGCTAAACTTTGTATTTAATGACGAGGGTTTTGTTTTTGCGTTTTGAGAAAGAAATTAGTGTGACGTTGATAAATGTGTGTGTGTGTGTGTGTGTGTGTGTGAGATAGTCCAGAAAAAGAAACAACTCACTTAACAAAAAATAGCAATATTGAGGAATATATTTTTGAACTTGTAGGAGAACACAAACACTAACTAGAAGGTCTTGAGAACTGTTGATCTGGCTCGAATCTCCATTCTGCCACCTTCTAGCTATGTGGTCTTGGCAAGGTACTTAGCTATTAGGTCTTAGTTTCCTCAGGTGTTAAACGAGGTAATGAATTTATTTCACCGAGTTGTGAGGAGGATTGAGATAATGTATGTAAAGCAGACAGCTAGCACAGGGCCTGGCACACAGCAAGCATGCATAAAAATGTAGCTAGTATGATGAGGAAGGCTACCAGGATGGCAACTCTTGTTTTACAGACACAAGAATTTTTCTGTGGTTTATGAAATACCTCAAAGTACACTGAGGAAGGTGAGTTTCATAAAATTAGGTTAAGATTTTAGAATTTCTTTGTGAAAGATTTTGGGAAATGTTAAAGCCTTACCTCCTGGCTGGTTGCTGCATCATGCTGGCTTCAGCTGCTTTGTGCTCCAGAGTTTGTATATCCTGAATTGTAAGTCGACCTAGCCGAACTCCAGCCAGCCTCAGCAATGGTGAGTGATGCTGAGCCTTTCCTAGGATGTATCGAAGTTGTTGTACAAAAAACCAGCCTTCCCATGCCATGTTAACAAATGGGTAGGCTGCCAGGAAGGCTCTATAAAACTGTTTCCAGCGGGAAGAAGGGGGGTGGATAGAATACTCATCCTCTTCTATGAGGCTAGAAACCAGCTTCTCCAGCTTCACTTTCAGGTAGGGAAGAAGAACCAGGAACATAACTGACTTCCAAAGCTGCTTCTTTGGGAGACCAGCACTGGCCAATCTCTCAGGCTTGTGTGTGTCCCCCATCACAATGCGCTTTAAGCCATAAAAATTTTCAGAAAATGAAGCACTGGTTTTAGACAGATAATGCTGCTGGAGCAGAAGATCTAGCAGGGTGAAGATTTCATCAAACCACCTCCAAAAGAAGCCATAGTGGGCAGGATTTGATTCTGCGAGAACCTAAAGCAGAGTAAATTAATAAATGAATTTCATTCCATTTCATAATTACTCTGCATTGTATTCACATTTCCTTTTTTTTCCCTCTGAATTCTGATACGTTCAGCTTAAACTAGTCACCTCTTTTGGGGGTCTGCCCTGTCCTCCCTGAAGTGCTGGGTATTCAGTACAGGGCTCTACACATAACAGGGACTCAATAACCGTTAAATCATAGGATATGAATTATATGTTAATTGGCAATTTCAAAACCTAGGCAACCAAATAAACTCAAATTATTGGTTTGGTTTTTACCCAGTCGTCCCTAAAACCTTTCCGAGAATTAATACCTTACCTTGACCACATGCTGAAGAGCAGGTCTCACGGCTGTCATTAAACTGTCCTGTGCTACCACCTCAAAGATGGATGGCTGGTCATCCGCCACAGAAGCAGTTGTGATGTGAGCCCCATGTTCAGCCATAGTTTCCTGTGTGCACTGGGTTTCGCTTTGCCCACAAACTCTTTAGTAAGCATGAACTTGTTTTAGTTATCAAACGGGTGCTCAGTCTTAAAGGTAATCTTTCTGCAAGAGACCCAAAACTCCTCTTTTACAGAACTGGGGGGGGGGGGGTCTCAAATTAAGGCGGTTAAGAACGAAATTAAGGCAGACATAGCAGAAATTAAGGTGGAAGTGGTAATGTGGGGTAGGGGTTACTTGTCAAATGCACCTGTGATGGCAGAGCATGCCTATGGGGCACAGGTATGGGCAAAGGAGTGCTCCCTTCTGGAGCTGTAGTCCGGGAGGGTACGAATCTGGGGCTCTCAATCGTGAGGGCTTAAAAACCAGCCAGCTCTGAGGTGTTAGAGGTGCCAGTGCGGACCCGGTACGCGAGGACTGGCTCCAGCTGTTGGCTGCCAAGTGTCCGCGCCTATCCTTGCGCGCGGACCCCAGGCGAGGCGTGAAGGACCCACGACGCCACGTTTGAAGAGAGGCCTCCGCTTTATGACAGAAGCCGCACCCGGAAATAGAAGCCCGGGATTGGGACGGCCGACGGAGGGGAGGCGCTCTAGCCCCGAACGTGGCCGGGGAACCGGAACTAGCGAACTCTATGATCCCAGTGGGACTTCCGCTTCCGCTCCTGCTGAAATTAAAGAAGTCACTGGGGGCCTGGCTTAAAGTGTAAACCTGTGCTTGTTTATTTTACTTATCTTAGCTGGTTTTGCTTCGGGTCCTCTGTGGGAAGCCACAGCTCTGAATCTCCCTCTGCAGAGGTCTTTTTGGCAAGGTGTTTGGGGCGCCGCGCTGACGTCTGACACCCGGAGCCAAGAGTTTGGGCCTGCTGCTGAGACCTGTGTTCCCTTGGGCGATTTAGTTAGGGGTGGGGGGACAAAAGGGAATATGGAAGTACGGAAGTTCTCTCTGTGCGTGCGGCGGGGGTGGTGGTTAATTTATATTCCGCCGCCTTCCAGGAAGGATTTGGAGCGACGCAGCCGGGGATAGAAGCCTTTAGCTTTGTTGCCAATTATTAAAAAGATAATTAGAGTGAGAAAGGTTCCTGCAGTTCGTTAGAACTGGGAACGATTACTTTCCATTCTAGCTGGTAGATTAACTGTCTTCTACGTGTAGTTATGTTCAAGCATAACTAGGCACTTGCCACACTCAATGAAATGGTTCCTGCTCTCGTACACGTTTGGATGTGTCATAGCGATATGAATACATTGCCAAGAAGGAGGGATCCTGATGAATTCTAACTAGAATGAACTGGGGACGCTTGGCAGATGGTACTTTTCACTGTTTGTATACGAAAATTAACGTAATTTACGGTTTGCAGAGTGCTTTTACATTGTGTGCGACTTTGCCTCGTTTGAGTTGCTTATACAGGTTTATTGAATTTCGATGAGTTAAAGTTCAACCATTCCTCTTTCTCTCCAACCCCTCCTCACTGCTGTGCTAAATGGATAGGAATAAAAGGTATTCACTGCTTTACAGGACCTTATGGTATAAAGACAATTGGTTTGCATAATGAGAACCCTCAAAAACAAGGTTTGGGTTTAATTGTTTCAATAAAATCTTGCAAGTTAATCTTACAGTTCTAAACGTGTTTTTTACTCTACCAGATAACCTGCCAGCGAAAATCACGTTGATAGAAGACTTTTACCTTACAGGGGGCGCCTGGGTGGCTCAGTCGTTGAGCGTCTGCCTTCAGCTCAGGTCATGGTCCCAGGGTCCTGGGATCGAGTCCCACATCGGGCTCCCTGCTCGGCAGGAAGCCTGCTTCTCCCTCTCCCATTCTACCTGCTTGTGTTCCCTCTCTCGCTGTCTCTCTCTCTGTTAAAAAATAAATAAATTTTAAAAATCGTTTAAAAAAAAGACCTTTACCTTACAGAATTTCAAGGTCTAGAGATAATGTATCTATATAAAGCAGCTGCTGTATGGATAATGGGAGGAAAGTTGAGGTTTCTGGTAGTGCAGGCAATAGGTGGTGGTGGTTTAGATTAATGAGGTGGAACAGAGGGGATGGGATGAATTAAAGATTTATTTTGAAGGTAGATTAACAACTTGAAAATGGTTTGGATGTGACCATTAAGGGAGAGAGAAATCAAGAATGACTGTGCAGGTTTCTGGCTTGAGCAATTTAGTGTAATTTATGGAGATAATCACACTTGTAGCAAATGCTATGTAGTCATACAATGTGCAGGCATAGTTCTAAGTGCTTTACGTATTATTATTATTATTTTTTAAAGATTTTATTTATTTATTTGAGAGAGAGAGAATGAGAGAGAGCACATGAGAGTGGGGAGGGTCAGAGGGAGAAGCAGACTCCC